ATATTATGAGCACGTAAAACACCTCTTCCGCTTCCACTCACATTAACAATCAATTACACACTAACCCATACCATCAGAGCTAATTAACTTTGCATGAAGCAAGTGCCAAGATCTACCTGTCACACACTCAAAACCCTACCCCACAAATAGCCAATTATAGTGACCATGTGCCCTTAAAAAAATCCCATGTAGATGTGGTTGAGCCTAATATAAACCATACGCTACTCCACTCTATGGACATGCAAAGTGAAAGAGTTATCATTACTCCTCTCCTTACCCTACTCTTTCTACTGGTATAGCAAACAATCCCTTAATTCCTTCACATATAAATCCTACCAACAAACATGCCGAGAATTCCTATCACCTTGAGAAGAAGGTGCAGACTAATCCCATACTAAGGCAACAAAGAAACCAAATAATGGCAAACTTACCACCACTACCACCCACATAGCCAACCCACAAATTTACTATGTGCAGCCCCCAGTACCACCAGACCATCAACCCCTCTCTTAGGTGGAGATGAGTCTGCTGGGACATGTAATCTCCCTCAACATGATGATCGATGGCCAGAAAATTGTCCTGGTGCTCCAAAACTCACAATACCTTCTCAAACTAATCCCCGAAGGGTTGCAACTAGTGATGAGCAACTATATAAATTATGTCTGGATCAGCAATATTCTCAACCCCATAGCACCAAACATAAACCCCAACCTCATCCAAACAATGAAGGGGCAGTGGAACTTACCTCACCACTTTGTCCCACTACAACCACAAAAATCTACCACTGGACCTACCCTTCTTTCCACCAGAGATAGTGTCCAACCTGAATCTAATCTTCATGCAATGGGATGTGCATGCAAACCGTGTAGTGAACCAAAAGCAAAATGCCCCTCCCATAGTGCAGGCTCCCCATCACCACCCCATGCTCCACAAGAACCAGAACAAGATCCAATAGAACCAATGATGACAGAACAAGAGGAGGTAAACCTCAGCCAACTATCTTTGGTGGAGTTCTCAAGCCTCAACGAAGTAGAAGAATTTCTCTTCACGGAGATGCAAGATCAGAAGTAGATACTCAACTGTCCGATGGGACTGTACAAATGCTCGATAGACATAAGGCCACCACAAGACCCAACAGTAGAACGACATACAATGATATTACTTCCCAGCCTGAGGAGGAACCCCTCCTTTGTGAATCCAGCTAGAGAGAATGGCCACCCACAAAACATTTTCAATAACATGAATCAAGCCACTAACTTTATTGTATGAAACATTCATGGAGGTAATAATGATAATTTTAGGAGAAATTTCAGAGAGCTAGTTGACACCCACAAACCATGCATGGTCACCCTTCTTGAAACTAGGATGGAAAACCACTCTACCTTACTAGATGATTTTGGCTTTACTGAAATGATTGAAATCCCTGCTGAAAGATAGGCAGGAGGCATGGTGGTTCTAGGGGATCACAACATTGTCATAGTCCACAACTTTGTTCGTATAAGTCAGGAAATTTCGGCTACTATAGAGGTACTGCCCTACCGTTATAATTGGCTATTTACTTCTATGTACGCTAGTACTAAAAAATATACTAGAAATATCCTCTGGGACAACCTTGAGTTGATGGCCCAGAATCACAATGGTTTTTGGCTTACGGTGGAGGGGGGTTTCAACGATGTCATGTCCTCAAATGAAAATTTGGCGGGAAGCCTATTAATAAATGTCAGGCTAAGCAGCTTTCGGCTAAGATTAATAATTATAAGCTTATTGATATTGGTTATAAAGGTTGTAAATATACTTGGTCTAACCGTAGGAGAAGAAAAGATGACCTTATAATGGAAAAGCTTGACAACGTTTTTGCAAATGAAGATTGGATAAGTATCTATCCAAATGCCTCCGTCATCTACCTACCAAAGACTAACTCAGACCACAATCCTCTTCTTATTGAATTAATTCCCAAACCAGCATGTAGGAACAGACTCTTTCGTCTTGAAACTATTTGGTGCAACCAGCCTTCTTTCAAAACTCTTGTCTCAAAAGGCTGAGAAAATCAAGACCTTTGTGCTGCCACCACCTCCTTCATCAAAAGGGCTAAGATTTAGAAGAATTACACATTTGGAAATATTTTTCGTAAGAATCCTAGCTAGACTAGAGGGCATATAAAAATCCAGTTATTACCATACTAGCCTTTTTCTCCAAAATCTTGAAAATGACCTAACTGTTGAATTTAATAACATTGTCAAAGTGGAAGAGGACTACTGAAAACTTGGATCTAGAAGTATGTGGCTCAATGAAGGTGAAGCAAATACCAATTTCTTTTATATCACAACCACTAATAGGAAGAGGAGGAACAAAATTATGTTTTTTAAGGATGACATGGGTCAATGGATAAATGACCACCATGCGATCCTTAATCATGTAGTAACATACTTCCCATCCATATTTCAAACATCCCATACTTCTACAAATTGGTCCCAATTGTGGGAGACAATCCTATAACCTACAATGTTGATTTATCCTCCTTAGATAATCCCCCAGCCACACAGGAAATCACTAGTGCCATTTTTTCCTTTAAACCGTTCAAGGCTCTAGGGCCGGATGATCTTCACCCCTTCTTCTATCAAAATTATTGGAGCATGTTGGGTAACTCAATCATCTCTTTTTGTAGCAATATCTTTCACACATAAAGTTTCCCGAAAGAGCTGAAAAAGACCTATCTATGTCTTATCCCCAAATTTTATAATGCAAATAATCTAAAGAATTTTCGACCTATAGGTTTATGTAAAATCATTTATAAGGTTCTTACTAAGATTATAGCAAATTGCATTAAGCCTTTCCTCCAACATATCATTAGCCCCTATCAAACTACTTTCATAAAAAAATCGAAGAGCTTGTGATAATGCTATCATTATTCAAGAACTCCCCCTCCATTAAATATGAAAAGAAAAAAAGCAAATACGATTATTAAACTAGATCTTGAGAAAGCTTTTGATCGGCTAGAATGGTTCTTTATTTACCTCACCCTCAGATTTTGCAAATTTCCCCCTTCTATTACTAAGTTAATTATGCACTGTATTACCACAAGTAGTATTGTAATTTTAGTTAATGGCAATGTCACACACTATTTTTCTCCTAGTAGGGGCATCCACCAAGGGAATCCTCTTTCTCCATATATTTTTATTCTATGTATGGAAATGCTTTCTCGTCCCATTTTACACCAAGTGGATGTAATGAATTGGGACCCTATCTGTATCAACAATTCCCTGATATCTCTCAACTCTTTTTTGCGGATGATCTTACTCTACTATCGCAAGCTTTTGATCGGCTGGAATGGTCCTTTATTTACCTCACCCTCAGATTTTTCAAATTTCCCCTTCTATTACTAAGTTAATTATGCACTATATTACCACAAGTAGTATTGTAATTTTTGTTAATGGCAATGCCACACACGATTTTTCTCCTAGTAGGGGCATCCACCGGGGGATCCTCTTTCTCCATATATTTTCATTCTATTTATGCAAATGCTTTCTCATCTCATTTTACACCAAGTGGATGTAATGAATTGGGACCCTATTCGTATCAACAATCGTATCCCTGATCTCTCTCAACTCGTTTTTGCGGATGATCTTACTCTACTATCGCAAGTGAATAAAAAATTTTGTACCACTAGCAAACGCTGCCTAGACCTATTTTGCTCCCAATTTGGCCAAAAGATTAATACAACGCAATCAAAAACTTATTTTTCTAGTAACTGTAACTCCAATGTGGCCAAAGATATGGCAGAGACCCTAGGTATAAAAAAAGCTCCAATTTTGGCAATTACCTAGGTTTCCTAATGTTTAAAAAGAACCCTAAAGCCACTGACTTCCGGTTTCTCATTGACAAATTGAGGATTAGACTAGTTTCATGAAAAACAAATTTTCTTTCCTTAGCTGGTCGTACTACCCTGGCTAAGGATTCCCTTAGCTCTATTCCTAGCTATTATATGCAATATACCTCTCTTCGCTCAAAGGTCCTCAGGCAAATAAGCAAAATTCAAAGGGATTTTATTTGGGGATCTACCACCAAAAAAAAAACTCCATATGATGAAACGGAGTACAATAATCAAGCCTTTCATGGAAGGATGTGTTTGCTTTTTTCATATGGGGCATAAGGATCAATAGAAACTACAATAACCACAATAATACTTCTCTTAATGTTTCCCTTACTGTGATTATTCGTCAAGCCACTGAATTCAAATTCTTGACAGAACAACACAACTATATCCCTTTAAAATCTCTTGTTCATATTAGCTGGAATAAGCCTTGTAAAAGATGGATTAAACTAAATGTGGATGGAGCCTTTACACAGATCATGTCGCATATTGCCTTAGGAGGAGACCTCAGGAACAACAAGGGAGACTGGGTTATAGGCTTCAAGAGACGAACTTATGCCGTTACGGCGCTGTATGCAGAACTTCTTGCCTTACAACAGGGACTAAAAATTGCAACAGGAAATAATCTCAGCCCCTTAGAGATAGAAACAGACTCCACGGAAGTGATCCAAAGCTTAACTCAAGGAAATATTATGTTTAATACTATTGTTTACTCTTGCAGGTAATGCTCCAAATGAAGGAGATGAGAATCAGGCATAAGTTTCGCCAAGGAAACTCAGTAGCCCATCAACTAGCCAAGGAAGTCCTAAACCTAAGGACCATAGATAAAACTCAATGCTGGCTGCTCCACCCTTTTGTGCGCTTAACTCTGGAGAAGGATGCAGATGAAAGAATAGTTTTTGTTAAATATCTACCTACTGATGCATGTAATAGTGTAGCAACTATGGGTAATCAAAGTGTCCTAAGTGACACCTCTCTATCTTGTAATCAATGTGTCCCTGGTGACACTAGTAAGACTTGTAACCTTGTGGCCCCGTTTTAGTATTAATACACAACTTCCTACCTTCTAAAAAAAATATATATAGTTGTTCACATTAACTTTTTGGGTCTAAACACTTTACACCTCCAAAGTCCTAAGCTGGGCAGACTGGGTGGGCCTTTAAATTAGAAAGCCTTTGGGCCTCATAATCTCGGTTTTACAGGTTGGTCTCAAGGGGGTTGATGTTTGGAGCTTTAAGGGGAGACGGACGCCATTGACACCGTATTTTTCCAGAAGACATGGGAGAAATGGCAGAGAACGACGAGTTTTACCTGAGATACTACGTGGGTCATAAAGGAAAATTCGGTCACGAGTTCTTAGAGTTCGAGTTTAGGCCAGATGGCAAGCTCCGTTATGCTAACAATTCAAACTACAAGAACGATACCATGATTCGCAAAGAGGTCTTCCTTACCCCTGCTGTCCTCAAAGAATGCCGTCGCATTGTTGCCGATAGCGAGGTCCTTTTGAACTCTCCCCTTGATTCGATTATATTTATTCTATTGTTTTGGCTCAGTATAGGGTGTCGGGTCAAACTCGGCATCTTGGTATTTCAAATTGGTGGTTTAGGGTTTTAGAGTTTTGGTTGTGGTCTAAAATGTTTTCGGGCTTAATTTACAGCTGATTTATGCTAGATACTCTTAATTCTGTGTGGAGGATTCATAAAGCTAGTTGACCCCAGCTAGAGTGGAATTGAGCCATAGTTGACTGATTGATTGGTTATTTACGGGGTTTTCAAGTTGCTGGCTTTAGTTTTTGGTTGTTACTTCCTAATGCTGGGAATATCCAACTATCCAAGTAATTGATGGTCAATGATTGTGTGAAGTAATGAAAAGACAAGAATATGAATTCTTAGAGCCATTATGACCTAAAAATGTTAGCGAAGAAGCAAAATTCTCATTCCGGAAGAAAGATAATCACGACATTTGGAGCAATTTTGGCATAATATTCATTGTAAATAAGCAAAATTATCATTTTGAAAACATGACAATTAGGTATTAAATTCTAGTTATGGCATAGGTGAAAAGGAGATGTTCTTGTTGTATTTGCTTAAGTCTTTTTCCTAGGGAGAGTTCTTTTTCTGTTTCCTTTTTTAGGGAGGGGCAGTGGAGGGTTGAGTTTGTTTAGTTCGGGCTGATAAAATGTCTGTGCTGTGGAACTCCATCTTTGTCCCCCTTCACACCTATTTATCTCCTGAGTTTTGTTACTTGATCATTACTCTGATGAGAAATGGAAGTAGTAAAAGGTTGTGGATGTTTGTATGTTGTAGATCATGAAGGAAGATGATAACAATTGGCCTGAACCGGATAGAGTGGGGAGGCAGGAACTTGAGATTGTAATGGGAAATGAACACATATCATTCACGACATCTAAGATTGGTTCGCTAATGGATGTGCAGACCAGTAAAGATCCAGAGGGACTTCGTATCTTCTATTATCTTGTTCAGGTACTGATCTACAAGGTTTTTCTGTCATTTTTACTTTGTACAAATACATCAAAAAGCTTTTTTGCAACAAGTTCCAACGTTTTACACACTAGCTTGTGAAAAATGTAATAGGGATAGCCCATACAGAAATGCAAAAAATTATTCTTGCCACTTTTTCTTTTAAAATATAATCGCCCCGACATATAAACAACCCCCCCCCCCCCCAACAAAACCCAAAAAGAGAGAGAGAGAGAGAGAGAGAGAGAGAGAGAGAGAGAGAGAGAGAAAAGTATACAATTTGGGTCCTTAATTTATCTAATAGAGTTAATTTTCAGAAAGCTCCTCTTTCTCCTGTCTAATGGTTTAGATGTATGATGTTGGGAGTCGCTTTTCTGGTTGACTTCATATTACCCTGTTTCGCCTTGATTGGAGCTTTAAAAGCAAGATGCTCTTAGAGTCTCAATTAGCTACATGCATAACTTAGTGAATGTGTAAACTGATGTTATTTGTGAATCTCCTGGACTTGCTCCTGTTCCCAGCTGCTGAGTTCCATAAGGAATATTAATTCCATCAAACTTATCTTTAGATTGCAATAGAAGCTGGGCGGTGAAGGCCTCCATTCCATCTTTAAATGAATAGAGAAGTGAGATTTTGATTTCTTTCCATCAAAGACAAACCACCTTGTTTGGAGATACTCGTTCTTATTGCAGCTGGTGTTAGGATGTGACCTCATTTCTGCCCAATGCTGCTTATTCAGTCGTTTATTTTCTCCTTTGTTTTCATCTTCCACCCTTTTAACAGCAACATGGTTTGATCATAATTAGAAGGGAGAAGTGATGGTTATTGTTATTATTATTACGTTGTCTTTTGGGGATAGGAGGAGAGATTAGAATAGTTGGAGTAAAAGAAAAGAAAGAGTAATGGATATGTGTGAGAAAGTACGACTTTTTGACTTTTAAACCAACTTCATCCTTAAGATTCTTGCTAACCTTTTTCTTTCACCTTCCTACCTTACGACAAAAATGATCCTGGATGGTTATTAAGACTGTTAGCAAGAAAACTGACATTCTTTCATGTTGCGGCAATTCATCTCCTCCTCCTCTATTACCTTCTTCCTGCTCCCCTTTCACATTGCTATGCAGAACAAGCAGCTACAAGCCACCCCGTCCTCCATCTTGACCCCCTTAAGGCCATATCATCATCCCTCACTTGTCACACGAGTTAACCCCAGCTTGGACAACCTTCATCATTCCTCAACACAATCCATCAAACTTTCCGTCTACAAAGGACCCAAAAAATAAAAGAAAAAAGAAGGAACAGAAGAGTCAAGAGGGATGCAGGTGAAGAATGGTGGAGGTTATGGTGGGGCTTTGGAGGGGGTTAGAAGAATGACAGTGGAAGGGGCAAGGTGGGCAGGGGCCAGCTGAAAGTGGGAACTCGGTGTGGTAGTATCACGAGGGACTTCAAATACTCCAGGAATACAATAGTGTTGAAGTTGGTTTGGGTGTGTTAAGTGCTAAATATTAAGAATGAAAACTGCCATTTCCTAGCATGTTTATGTGCACCACAAATATCCGTGGTTGAAAACGATGAGAGGCTCACTAGGATAGGAAACAAAGCCAAAACCTTTGGGAAATAGAGGTTTTCCCAGAAGGAAACTTGGGCTAAAGTTGAATCTGGTAACAGTCTCTCAGAGCTGGGACTTAGCTGCTTGTCAGCTAGGCGCTCATGCACAACCCCTAGTTACTGCACTTCTGATTAGTATCTTGTTGTATACGCTTGGTTATGTGATCCCTCTGTGCTAATTGGACTTGATAACCTCTAAGTTATTTAAAGCTGCAGCCAAAAAGGATTGCCTTGTAAACATTGGTCTCCAGTCCTAATCTGGTGAAATCCCATTATCGTCTCCTTTCCTTTTACGTTGGAGAGATCTGAAGGATTTCCTGCTCTCGACCAATTAGTTCCACTGCTTTGCGTCATTTTATTATGGTGGTTGACATGTTATTATCTTTAAATCAAACATCATTGATGCATTTCTTTAAGTTTGTTTCAGAAAATTGGTGTTGGTTCTCAGTCTTGGAATACTTCTGCACAATTTGACTCTTGGTTTTCATTGCAGGATTTGAAGTGTTTTGTGTTCTCTCTCATCTCACTCCATTTCAAGATCAAGCCTATTTAACTCATGCATTAGACGTGCTTGGTTTCATGTTTTAAATGTGTTAGAGTTGTGTATCGTGAAATTGTATGATGCCGTTTGGTGAAGAAGTTTGTTTTTTTGTTTTGCATTTGTTACATTTATGGAATTAGTTGTTTTTTAGACCTTGTTTTGCGAGTAAAGATAAGTTCTCTGGGTTCTCTCTCGTTTCTTTGCGTACTATTCTCTTATTAATCTTGCCATTACTTGTTAGGCGTTTTATAGCAACATGGAAGGCACGGAATTTTTTGTATCTAATGTTCTTTGAGCTTTGGTTTCCCGTATTGCTTTTGTGTTGCCAGGGTATAACTATGACTTTGTTTCACCAAAGTCATGTAACATTGTTTTCTCACACAAAAATTATATAACTATGACTTTTCTTCGTCAAAGTTATATAAATTTGTTCTCTCGCATAAAAGTCATAAAACTTTTACTAGCTCACACAAAAATTATAGTGGTCGAAAAATAAATTTTCTGGTATTTTATGTTTTTTTTATTTTTTATTTTCAATCGAATAAATAATTATCCAAATAAAATTGGAGAAATATAAGTATAGTTTTAGCCTCTCCCAAAAATAATGGCCAATGTGGATGACAAGATGCGGGAAGCAAGGCTCAGATGGTTCGGACACGTGCAGAGGAGAAGCCTTGATGCGCCGGTAAGGAGGTGTGAGCGGTTGGCTGTGGTGGGTACGAGAAGAGGTAGAGGGAGACCTAAGAAGTATTGGGGAGAGGTGATCAGGCAGGACATGGTACGAATGCGGATTTCCGAGGACATGCCCTTGATAGGAAGGTCTGGAGGTCAAGCATTAGGGTTGTAGGTTAGGGGGTAGTAGAACTTTTCTTACTTCTTTCCGGGGGTGAGGCGGGGTTGGATTAGGGTTGGCCTTAGATGGCTTGCAGTTTATGTTGAATACACACTATACTTGCTATTTATCTGAGCCCCGGGCCTGGTTACTGTTATTGTATGTCATCCATCTTTTGATTGTTATGCTTCTGTTACTATTACGATTTCTACTGGAGTTACTAATGAATTGTCTTTTCTTGTTTTTCTTATTTTCATCTTTCTGAGCCGAGGGTCTATCGGAAACAGCCTCTCTGCCCTATCGGGGTAGGGGTAAGGTCTGCGTACACATTACCCTCCCTAGACCCCACTTGGTGGGATTTTACTGGGTAGTTGTTGTTGTTGTTAGGGCTACCGCTTGGTTGTCGAAATATGTTCGGTTATGACAACCAAGCGGTAGCCCTAACAAATTTTATTATTAATTTGATTCCTGTGAAATAATAATATTTTAGAAAAAAGTGTCCTAAATGTAAATAAAAAGGAAGATTTTCTTTTTTAGAAGGAACAAAGTTGTCTTTAAAGTATTTAGCAATTTCTAATTTATAGAAAAAATAAATATATTGAGTATAATTAAATTTTTATCTAAAATGAATTATGAAATACATTTTGATTTAAATGGCTAAAAGAAAAATAGACATTCTTAAATTCTAATATAAATTAAAAAGAGTAAAAGATACTCTAAACTTCCTATCATAAATAAATGAGAAAGGTAATTTTCAAGAAGGAATCAAATTGTCTTTAATTTATAAAATCTAGGTTAAATAAAAGAGAAAAGAATATCTTTTCAAGAAGGAATCTATTATTTGCAATTCCAAATTCTCGACAACTTTGCTACTTATCAAACAAAAACTTATGAATGATTTATTTACCTTTTTAATTACTCCTAACATTTTGATTTTTCAAAAATGTTATGTTTTTATATTGAATGTTATAAATAGAATTGTATTTATGGTGAATGTCTATATTTAGAGAGATTCTAGGGTTCATTGCTTGGTGGCTAAGTCACCCTCTCCCTATAAATAAAGGCTTCTATTCCCATTGTAATTCATCTCATATCAATAAGAATTCTCTCTCCCTACTTTTCTCTACAATAATCTTCTTCTTCTTTTATTGTTTCATAATACGTTATCAGCACGAGACTCTAACCAATTGAGTGGAAGCTTTGGGATTGAGCATAATGATTGTCAATTGTTCCATGAACTTTCTTCATGATTAAATTCTGGATTTAAGGTAAGTATCTTACTTTATTTTTCTCTTTTAGATTCTTGATATTCTATAATTTGATTTTAAATACAAGCAAAGACAATAAATCTTGATTTTAACTCTAATGGAGTTTGAAAGAAATTATAACCACCCAGAGTGGTAAAATTCCTATGTCTTGCCATGATCAAATTTATGTATGATTATGGGCACAAGAAGTGCATACCCGTCCCATTGAATTTGCTTCATTCTCATTCCCTTAAGAGAATGTGATAGCAGTATGTGATAAGTCTGAAAGAAGACAAAATTATTACCGTGAAGATATCAATGGATGTGGACGTGGTATTAGACGAAATTATAATCGTCATCATTGTGATAATGAGAATAATAAGGATTCTCAAAATAATCCTTCACTCTGTGAAAGTAATATTTATCATCGATTTGACATGAGATTTTATAAAGCACATATAGATGATTATGGTCCATTCATGATGTAAATGTGACAACATCTGATTTATGAATACATATTCATTCTTGGAAGAATATGAGCGTGCTAGTGGTATATACCACACTCACCTCTAGAAGGAGGTTTGAGAGGAAATAAGAAAATAATGTCATTATTATGGCATGAGGTCATTTGTCACGTACCTATTGTACGCCAAAATAATTTGGCAATGTGATTATTAAAGGACAACAATAATGCAAGAAACATATCTTGCATATAATTTTGACCATGACCATAATGGTATAACTTTCTCCTTAAAAGAGATATTCAACATATGGATGTTGATGAATATGTGGTAGTACCAAATTAATTAAAAACTCTACAAGAGCCAATTATACTATTTTGGATAAACACAATTGATTACCAATAAGGTATGGTGTTGTAGTAAGTCTCAAAGAAACTTATTCAGTTTCCATAGTATACACGAAAGCGGATGATTATATTGAGACTATAAATAAAGGAAAGATTTAATATCTTCTATTACTACAACTTGTAGCGGGATAATATCTATGTGAAAAGCTACCCGCTTTATTCTCCAATTTGTACTACATAAATAAAAGAATACCATAATAAAGTGGATGTTCATTGATATAAAAACCATATCATAATAAACTTGGAGTTTATTGATAATTGCACACGCCATGGTGTAAATCTGAAGTTTATCAATATTGATAATTTATTCAGTTGCATAATTGGTTTAGCCATATCAATTTAAGTATGATATGCAAAAATAATAGAGAATTCACATGGGTAAATATTAAAGAACTAGAAAGTTCTTACGAATTCTTTTATGTTGCCTGTTCTCATTAATTAATATACCAACTAAAATTGGGATTGAATCCCATGAATGCTGGAAATTTCAAAGGTGAATATGGACCCATTCACCTGCCATGTATACCACATAAGATGCATCTATGAGATGGTTACATGTGCGATTATTAATAACCCGCAACATGGTGTTTTGCGAGGTAACTTGCTCAATAATTTAATTTCGAACATAATTTCCAGATTTTCTATTCAAGAAGTTCATCTTGATAAGTTGGTTTACATCACAGTTGGTTTAGCAAAATAATTTATTAAGTGCCTCTACTTAATAGCTAAACTATTGCTAATGAGAACAAAGTTATCTATATCAGTTTGATGTAGGTTATATATGAAAGTATATTACATTCTCCCCTCACAAGTGGTTCAGATCAGGAACCAAATAATTTCATCTTATTATTATTGATGTGCGGTGTATATTTTGATTAACACCATAACGCACAAAGATGGGTTCTCAAAGTTGAGGAAAACAAGTTAGTTTTTCTAGCATGAGGGGGAGATATGATAAACAGTTGGGAAAAAGTTACGAGGAATGAATTATCATTTCTACATCTAGATCCTCGAATAAGATAATATGAACTTGAAGTTCATAAAAAGATAATTCATTTGCAATATATTGCAAAGCATGCCAGACGCATTTGCTGACCCAAAGAAAGTAACTATATTCTCATTGCAAATGCTCTTATTAAGTCCTAGAAGGACAACGTCTATGGTATGCTTAAAGCATATAGACAAATCGGTTTCAAATAAACTTCTTGATAAAGAAGATGAGCAAATGATCAAAATGATCATAATAAAGGAGGCAAGTGATCTAGAAGATCACATGACATAACACTTCATAAAATCTCATGAGAGATTCAGGTACCTGAATATATGAATGAAGGGATCTCTATGTTATGTCATTATGAAAATATATTGAAACTGATATAAAATGTTTGTCGACGATATCTATGATAGCGCTAAGTATAGATGAGGATCTTAAGTCTGTCGCTTACAAACACAAAAATATTGGCCAAATAGAAGAGACACAATTCAAATAGAATTGGTTTCATATGAAAGACATGTAGTTTTGAACATGTAGTTCAAACACTTGAATAAAGTCAATGGTATGTGCAATCAATTTTTCGATATCTTATGTGTCTAGCATGACATGAAAACTTGATATGCATCTAAAGTCTATTATATGGCTTATATGACTTAAAAATCCTTGAAGGATTTAAATCGCCTAAAGCATATAGAATTCATGGTCATGAAGTACTACATCCTCAATGTAATTTGTGCACAAATGTATCTTGCTATAACTATATGCATGATAATATGATAGCAAGAGTTTTCACCTCTATATGAAGATATTGAATTGACGATTCCAACAAGATCATATGAAGACAATTCATCTCTATCAAGAATGATGATTTCAAGGTGCAATATATTCATTCAAGTTAATACGGCTGATTTTTGTTCATCAAATCTCTACCAAAGATCTTTTGAAGATGGTGCACAAGATTGGAATTCAAATGCTTAAGGATGTGAATTGATGCTCTCATCAGGGGGAATTAATACGCGTTGTACTCTTTTTCCCTTACAAGGTTTTGTCCCACTGGGTTTTCCTTGCAAAGTTTTTAACGAGGCAACCAAAAGGCGTATTGTTAGATATGTGTACTCTTTTTCCTTCTCTAGAATTTTTTTCCACTGGGTTTTATTTTAGTTAAGGTTTTAACGAGGCACATTATCTGTTGAATAGACATTCAAGGGGGAGTGTTATAAATAGAATTGTATTTATGGTGAATGTCTATATTTA